GCTGAGTGTTCTGAAGCGGTATGTGAGCTTTCCCCTGAGGGTCAGAGCAGCTGTGGATGTGACTGTCACAGCCGTGACTTCATTAGGGGCTTGTCTGTATTTCTTGTCAGTTTAAAGGTACTGCATTTGCTCTTTCAAGTCCAGGTCAACAAAATGCCCTCCTGGGGACTGAATTTCCCTAAATGCACCAGTTAAGTGTTCTCTCCAGTGGCACAATACACGGAGGATTTCCTCAAAAGAAATATTATCAGAATAAGATTATACAAATAAGTCCTTAGGGGAAAGGGGATGATATAAAAGCTATCAAAATGTCTTGTCTGGGAAAATAGTAGAGAAAAAGACTCCCTTTAAAAGCCTAGTCTTATGATTACCTGGCAGTTTTGACGAATTAGCAGGGAATGTGGTCGTATAGTTGGCTAATTTGGAAAAATAAAAGTCATGGAAAAGATTTTTTTAATCTATCATTTGGTTCCTAAGCCACAACTCTCAACTTTTTGGGGAAGAGGTTAGGAGAGCATTCTTTGCCATGGCAAAAAAACTCCCCTTTTGAGTTTTACGGGGTGAGAAGGGCAGAGAGAGCTCCTCTGGCCTCCAGCCTGCACTTGGAACCTGTTGTGAAATCAGCCAGAGTTGTCTAGATGGGGTGAAATGGTGTAGGGTGTGTTCACGCTTGCCTTCCGGAGTTTTAATGTTGTCCAGAAATTTAAATTTCAGAGATTCAGGTTCTCAGGAAGAAATAATTTCCTATTAGGCAGGCTTATGATGAATCTCCTGTTTCAGGTGGCTTCTCTGGGCTGCAGAGAACAAGGTATCCTAGCCCTGTTTCTCCTTCCCCTTGCCTGTGAGGAGTCACCCAGCAGCGATGGGGAAGTGACCTATCTTCTTCCTTGTCCTCAGGAGCCAACGAAGTGCTTCTGGTGGTCGGGGGCTTCGGAAGCCAGCAGTCTCCCATCGACGTGGTAGAGAAGTATGACCCCAAGACTCAGGAGTGGAGCTTTTTGCCAGTAAGTAGTGGTGGAACCAAGCCTGGGGAGAGAGCTTAAATGCAGTCCCTGGCTCCAGATCATAACTAATCCAGCCCTTAGAGTAGAAAAGCCTGGTAACAGCATCATGTTCCTTACAGCAGTTAGTTTCAGTAGTTAGTTATTGACTAATTAGAAATCAGAAATATTAATGACCCCGTGTCAAGTTACACTCAGCTGGCCGCCACCATTCCCGCGCCTTCCCGAGCTGCCTGTGCAACTCGCAGGGTGCTACCCTCGTGCCCTGTTAACCTGAACACTGTGTTAAACTGTGCTAAGCTGAACTGGCATCCAGTGGAACTTGGAAGTTTGTATCTCTCTCCTTCGGTGTGTCTCTGTTTCAGTGCTGAATGAACAATAGTAATTCTGAGAAAACTTGGAATCTTTTGATCATTTCTCGTAACTTTTCGGGTCTTCGGGTCCTGGCCCTTAGGTAGCACTGTGGTAATAGCTTTCTACTTTATGGAAGGATACCGGTCTTTAGCCCAGTGCCTTATGGAATAGAGAGGAGTCGGATACTGGATAACAGAAGGACATTAGGTCCTTTGGAAGCCTTGGAAGGAGGCAAATGTACACAAGGCTTTAATCTGTAAGAGCATCACAACAAGCAAGAGGTTTTCATCCAGAGAGCAGATGAACCTCTGCTCAGAAGGCTTCACAGTGACAGGTGAGGCAGCAGAGGTGCACAGATAAAAACAGGAAGGACAGCAAAAGGTGAGGCCTAAGACTGGCACGACTGAAATGACAGACGCACCTCTTCCCTCCTGAATCCTAGAGCATCACTCGGAAGAGACGCTACGTAGCCTCAGTGTCCCTCCACGACCGGATCTACGTGATTGGCGGCTATGATGGCCGTTCCCGCCTCAGCTCAGTGGAGTGTCTAGACTACACAGCAGATGAAGATGGGGTCTGGTATTCTGTGGCCCCTATGAATGTCCGACGAGGCCTGGCTGGAGCCACCACCTTAGGAGGTAGGCTGGTGCACAGGGCAGTGTTTGCATTTTGGGGTGGCTGGATCGGGGTTCATACCTCTCTATGAAACGTGGAGGCTACTGGTAAGATCACATACGCCTTTCTGCTTTCAGAAATACTCATGGGTGTTTCAACGCTGACAACAGAGTTGGTAAATCAAGTTCCAGTGTGCTGAGTGGGGGATTGGCACTAGTTGTATTTTTGAAAATTCCCATCTAGTCTTGGAATGTTTCTGAAGATTCCATCTTACCCCATTCTTTTTACATGTCTCGACTGTGCTGTCCTCTTTAAAAAGGACTTAATTGACTTATCCCTTAAAAAAACACTTGTTCTTGCCCCCAAACATTGGAAAGAGTTGTGGGAGATTCGTAGAGAAAAGAGTTGTTAGAAGGCTCTCGTTCTCTAATAGCTGTGACTTGTTCATTCTGAGCAGATATGATCTATGTCTCTGGGGGCTTTGATGGAAGCAGGCGTCACACCAGTATGGAGCGGTATGACCCAAACATCGACCAGTGGAGCATGCTGGGAGACATGCAGACGGCCCGGGAAGGCGCAGGCCTCGTGGTGGCCAGCGGGGTCATCTACTGCCTAGGTGTGCGGGCTGGGACGCGGGGAGAACTGATGGGCGGCAGCCTCGGGGTGGGATCCTTTTTACCAGAATGAAGTTCATAGACTTCCTTCCACTAAAACCCCGGTCTGTCACAGTATATTTTTCATTAACTGGGATTCTCCTTTTCATGGAAGCAGAAAACAGGGTACTGCCAGATTTCTTTTGGGATTATTGGAACCCTTGAGGGAGAACTGGAACTAAAAGACTTAGTTGAAACACTCGAGAAAAGCAGAATGGGAATGGGCATCAGGACTTACCATTCTTCCTGGAGTGGGCTCTGCTTTGTCTTTCAGGAGGATATGATGGCTTGAATATCTTAAATTCAGTTGAGAAATATGATCCCCATACAGGACACTGGACTAATGTCACACCGATGGCCACCAAGCGCTCTGGTAAGACCAGTCAGATCTGGGGGGGGGGGGGGGGGCAACAGAGCTGCCAGTTGTCAGGCCGCAGGGGGGGGGGGGGGGGGGGCAACAGACGGAGCTGTCCAAACCTTGTATGTGCAGTGAGGGTGCAGCCACAGGCAGGCATCAGACCAGGGCTGCAGCCCCGTCTTCACTGGAGACAGAGGGGAGCATGAGTCAGGTCCATTCTCCTCCCGCCTGTTGTCTGTAAATGCAGTGAGACTAAAGGCAGCCTAAACTTTGACTAGGGTACAGTTTGAGGGCGAAGGCTTCCTGTCTTACTCGTTTTTTGCATCTGGGCCCCTCCCTGCCTCCTAGCAGCCAGTCCAGCTCTGTGCACGTGGTGCGCACTGCCTGAGGGAATGTGCGTGTGCAGCGAAGGGGCTTCCTGAGCCCCCAGGCTGGGGTACAGTAAGGAGAGCGCCCTTCCTCTGGGCAAGATGTGCTCCAGAGCCAGTCACAACCCCTTTCCTCCCTTTATTGCCTTCTTTTTTCCACTTCCTTCTTTTCTGCTGATGAGGGTTGGGCTGTGAATTAACGAAGGTGAAGATGACAGCCAGTTCAAGAGGGTTTACAGGCGGGTCACCTGTGCTGGACTAGATTCTTCCAGGCCTGTCTGGCCCCGTCCCCATCCCTCAGCCATTCTGGAATTCAGCTAGCCGTCAGTGACAGTGTTTTGTTTCTAGAATTCAGATCCTGAGCTTAGCAGTATTCATTTGCTGTACCTTTTCTTCCCCAGGTGCGGGAGTAGCCCTGCTGAATGACCATATTTATGTGGTGGGGGGATTCGATGGTACAGCCCACCTTTCTTCTGTCGAAGCGTACAACATTCGCACCGATTCCTGGACAACGGTCACTAGCATGACTACCCCGCGATGCTACGTCGGGGCCACCGTGCTTCGGGGGAGACTTTATGCAATTGCAGGGTGAGGGTTAAACTAGGCATCCAGAGCATGTGATCCGAGCCGCATCTGGGGTGGAGATGGGGTTTGGTTTGTGAGGGAGACGCCTTGTGTGGGAGGGGGCCGTGCAGCTGCAGAGCTCAGTCCCGCCTCTTCCCCCTCAGCTACGACGGGAACTCCCTGCTGAGCAGCATCGAGTGCTACGACCCCATCATCGACAGCTGGGAGGTCGTGACCTCCATGGGAACCCAGCGCTGCGACGCTGGCGTGTGTGTTCTCCGCGAGAAGTGACCGGTCCGACACAGTTTGCAGGGAACCAAGGATCCTTTCCAGAATGTCTGCTTCTCAACTGTGTGCACAGGGTGATTACAGGCACCAGTGCCGCGATGATTGTGCTCATTTGACGCCCTCGCGCTGGTGGTTTTCCCCGAGGAGGGTGGGCAGCAGACCCTCAGGGGAGGAGACTGCACACTGAGTGGGTGTGGGAGGCCAGACCACCTCTTCTTCCGGCCGCGGGGGCGCTCTCTCCTTGTTTCTGACTCAGCGTGTGCTTGGGAGAACATACGTTTAAGTTGTGCCTCGCGTGTTGCAGAGAATTAAGGTATGAGCGCAGTGCCGGGGTGTGGGCGGTATCCAGCCTCGATCATTGGAAGGGTACCAACTCTTGTTTCACAACAGTAAATATCTTTCCTAGTCTACAGGTAGCAGGGGCAACACAGTTCCGATCTGGAGGAAAACAGAGGGAAGAGCCCTGTCAAAACTTTGGGGGCCTGGGGACAGGGGGACAGGGTTGGCGTCAGAGCAGGGTGTAGAGTGTGGGAAGGGAGCTGGACCTGGTGGGATGTGAGTGAACCTGCAACAGCCGGAAGGCTGAGGAGGGAGTGTTATTTGAGGGTCTCTCCGTGGCCCCCTGGTATTTCTGGGCCCTGGGGGCTGAGGGAGGGACAGAGCCAGCACGTTAGGTGAGCAGAGGTGGAGAAGTGGGCCGGGGATAAACCAGAAGTTCCTGTGAGTTCACAGTAGCCCTCCCTGCCACGACTCGTCTATCCGGGGAAGGTCTTCCTCTGTTGGAGCAAATGCTCCTCACTCCACTGTTACGCGTCCATACTGTTTAGAGGGGGCGGGGGAGGGGCGGGGGTGGCGGCAGCGGCCTAGAAGTTCAGCTGCCTGGTTACTCCCTCATTCTTTTAAGGACATACTTCTGCTAAGGTGTGGTTTTTACTGCTGTGTTTTGTACATGTAGTTCTTGGCTATTAGAATGCCCCTTCCCTGTCTTTAAAGTGGATTTTATTCATCCCAGGACAGAATAATCAACGACAACTAAAATCCTTTTGTTAGTTTCGTTACCCGCTGTCCCTCCAAGGCTCCCCTGTGCTGTGCAGTGATATTCCTGCTCTGTGGGTATTGGGAGTGTGGGGACGTGATCACCTAAGGAAGGATGCATTTTCCCTTTGCTCTGAAATTCCTTTTTTTCCTCTTTCCC